GTTTTCTTTGTCAAATCCCAAAATATCCAAAAGTAAATCTGACGATTCCTTCTTTTTAAGTCTCTTTATTTTTATTAAAGAAATGCAAAATTCAACATTTGCTTTTCTAGTTAGAGCAGGCTTATTATAGTCAGTTTTCTTCCTGGTTTTTTTTTTCCTGAGACAAAAGGAGTCCAAAAATAATGAGGTTCATCTGTTTCCCTTTTCCCAAAGCCTCTAAAGGATTTCCATACACACACACACCCTTCTCCCTAGCTTACTGATGCAGGGATATCTGGTATTTAGCTTTTTAAAGTCTATAAAATGTTTATTTTCAGCAAAAGGGATGGAAAAGCAGGAATGTACAAAATCCATTATTTCCTCTTGCACTATTCTGTTACTTCTAACAGTGAATACAAATGGCTGCCAACACAAATACCTCTTTTGATGGCCTGGCACATAGAACTTACTTACTCCTTTACCAATAAATAAAATATATTCAAATATTTGCAAGGAGAAACAGATGTATGTATGTATGTATGTATGTATGATATCATTATCCAGTCCAAAAGCAGGCTGAAACAGTGCCATCATGTCCTTCAAGAAGAGATTGGACTGCCATTTGTCAGAAATGGTGTAGGGTCTCCCACTTGGGTGGGGGTGGACTAGATGACCTACAAGGTCCCTTCCAACTCTGATTATCTGTTACCTTCTGTATAATGCATACAGATAGATGCTTATCTATCACACTATTTACTTCAAATATAATGGTAAGTAACACAAGGTATAGAATGGGAATAAGATATAGCAAACAAAATAAAGTATGTAATATCTCACTACACAACTTCATGCCAGCGTCGCAGGCCATGCTCACTTTCATCAAGTCCTTTCCCTGCTTCCTGTACTGCCTTTTGTTCTTTAAACTTCATCTTTCTCTTTTGTTTTAGAATCTTGCCAACTTAATTCATCTTTGACTCTCTTGAACTTTTCCTTCTCTCAACATACTCTCTCTTCAACTACTATTTTTCCCAGTTTGATCTTAATTTATTCTCTGTTTATGTCAAAACTACAGATCATCCTCATTTGTGACAGCTCACACTTACAACGAATCTGCTCGCATTTATGGCCAGTTCCAACTGTGGTTGCTAAACAAGGACTAGCTGTGTCTCAATGTACTGTACTTCCTTCAGAATCATAATTCATTTTTGTATTCAATACACTTTCATTCAACATCTGTGCATTCCTGAGCCTCTTCTCTTGTTTCACCACACACAGATCTAAGTACTGCACTCCAATTGCATTCAACTTTTATCTCTTTTCACATATCTAACTCACTTCCAGCACTTAATAGTAAGAATAGTACATGTTTTGCTGAGTTTGGGTCAATATATCATATGCAATTACAGCTGTTTTATCACAAGTAAACTAATGCTATTCTGTGCAAGTTAGGATCTCTACTCTGTTTTCTACATGTTGTACACTCAATGTACATATGGTGTACTGATGTACGTTCAGGATGAGTATCTAAAGATAGGGAAAGAACCAACCTTTTATTTTGTATGGTGGAATGCACCCAGAAAACTTTTAATAATAGTAAGATAATTGAGCAGGACCATTAGTATAACAACTATTAATACACTACAAATTACCCACTCCTAATACACTTAGTATTGTGCCCTGGCTCATAAATGTGCTCAGATTACGAACACCAAAACTAACAAAATAAGTGCTAGATTTCCAATACTGCCATGCTAAAATTTATATTCAAATATCTCTCCCAGGGATCTATCCTGATTACATTTTTATCATCTTCCCCTATTTTTCCATGATAGGAAATAGAACCAAGAACTTGAATTGTTTAAATGTTTTTTAACTATGTTAGATTTGATAGAAAAAGCATGTAAAGAATAAATTGATAATTATGCAGTAAACAAGTATGAATAGAGAAAGCAAATTTCATATCTGTATAAAGTAATACCAAGAGTCAACCAAATTGTGTTTAAAAACAGAGACAGAAAATTGAATCATTATTTGTATTATTGTAGACAGCTACGTGTACTTAAATTTATATTTAATGATAACTGCATGTTTATATCATAAGCAAATAACTGTTTACAAATTTATCAGTGAATAAACATGAAAGCAGAAACAAAAGTCAACTTACCAGCAAAGTCAATCTTGGTTAAAAGGTGTATTTCTATATTCCATTAAGAATCATCATTATAATGACCAAAGGATTTTATATCACAGATGTAACAAGATAATTCCCAAAATAATTTATCTGTGAGCAGTAAATTCTATGACATTCATAGCACATGAATCTCATAATTGAGCTCTACAGCTGCCAATGTAATGTACAGCTACCATGAATTACAAGTCCAAGTATATAAAAAAAACTATTGAGAAGTCATTCATGTATTATCTATGATAATTATATAAACAGACCTATACTTTACAAACAAAAGCTGAACCTAAACATAATCAGTCACTTTCTGACCATCTAATATTTATAAAAGTATCTAAAATGAGTTTGGTCTTCTACAGATTTAAAAGTCAAAAAGTCCCATGGTTTCATATATAAAATTATAATTTCCAAGAGTACACACATTTTGCCACAATCGCTAAAGAATAAGAATCTCTTTTAGATCCTTGATTATTACAATTCCTGCCACATGATAATTTAAGAATGCAAGATATTATTTGGAAGAGAATGGAAGTAAGAACAAACTGCCAAAACAATATGCATAACTACTGAAATATAGCATAGATAAGAAAGAGCAGTCTGGCTGCCAACATCAGAGGGGTATACTGCACAAAGGAAACAACACAGAACAGTCATGCCCCATTGTTTCAGTGGGCCAGTTCACCACCACCCCCCCCAAAAAAAAACAACCCCAGAGAAAAACTGTGATGTTAACTTTGGGCTTAGAAAACTATGATCTCTATATTCTGTTGAATGCAGCAAGACCAATGCCAGCAATATTTTCTGGAGGGAGACATTATCAGTGGCCAGGATCACATACCAAAGTAAATAAATATAATTAAAAATGCTCAAACTTTAATGTAAGAGTACAGAAATCTGGCAAAATTTTAGCTGCATTTTTAAAAATTAAACATTCAAGGCTGTATTATTTCACTCCTCTTTCTGTTAGTTGAAAACACTGTTCTATTATGAAGCAAGCGCTTGCGTTCAGCCATTTCTGAAGCAAAATTTGTACTAGCATATCAAATACACGTTACCTTAACCTACCACTGTTTGGTGGTGGGTAAATGAAGTGGAATATTGTAAGAGCAAAGAGAGTCAAAAAGTAGGCATTGAATTCTACGGTTTTAAAATGGTGACATTTACGATTCATGAGGAAATGCTCTTCTGCAAATAATAGATTGGTCTCGAGATGGGACATAGAATTTTCATTTGACAATAACATAGGCTTTCTCTGTCCCTACCAAAAATTTGCTCCTAGGAAAAAAGAGATTTGGGGTCGGACATAGGGCATTGCTATGGCCTGGAGCAATCTAGAGAAATTGCTGGTGAGTGTAAGCAGAACTGCCTTTTCAGTTCACAAAGATCTTGGAGCCTGATAAATGTCACTTTTAAAAGAGCACTATATTTAAAAAGAAAGAAAGCCAGGGAAAAAAAACAAAGGGTACATGGTGAACTTTTAAAAAGAAAAGAGAATATTTACATGTTCAAGATCTTCAGCAAATTTCAACAGGCAATTTCCATTTTGCCATCATGCAACTAGCAGTTCATTGCAAGCTCTTCTTTATAATAAATAATACATGAGAAAGGACTCTTCTGAAAATTCAGTTTTTGTTTACATCTCTAATTTTTTCTAAGATTCTGCAGAAATAAATTCATCTTTATTCTAAGAGTCTATGCAAATAAATAATTAAGCTACTCCATTTAATATATTGGTATCTACTGTACTTTTCAAATTACCAATCCTTTCCAGCTTTTGCTTCTAGGTCTTAAATAATATGCTACTGGAGCCAAATATTTGGCATTTAGATTTTTTTTTTAACCAAGAGGAAGACAGTATCTAATGCAATATATTAGAAGCCAAAAAATAACTTATTTCACCAAGTATGAATAAATTGTATAGGTAACTGGTTCTGAATCTAAATATTCTGCTTAGAATATTCAGCTTAACTTCACTGAAATAATTTCAGTGTCATAACTCTCATTAAAAAAAATCCTTGAACAATGGAGGGGAATTATAAATTAGAAGCATAAGGGAATAATACTCTGAAGTAGCTACAAAATAACGGGCTATCAATTTATAAATATTATGAATGAGAAAAATACGCATTAAAATAACATAATAAATATAAATTTACCTGGTGTTAGTTACTTTTAAAGAAGTGGAAATTTGATTTTCTTCTACCGTGTTCTCATTTTTCTTCTTGCAATATTTTTCCAAGTCATTTAACAAAAACAAAAAACAGAAAAAAAAACACCCTATCTACTGCAGGGATTCTCAAATTGTAGGTAGGTATCTACCAGCACATTTGAGGAGGTTTGGAAATTCTGGGGCAGATTACTAATGGCTTGCTTTCGTTGGAAAAGTGCCTGCCCAGGCAGAGTAAGAATGTGGCCTATCAGTTCTACAGCCTATCTTATAGACCTCCACACAATCAGTGTGCCTACCAATGACTGGATTCCCTTAAGACAGGGAAAATCATAAAGCACAGTAGCCTGGGACCTAGGGAATTACTGAGGATATACAGAGGATGTTTCTTTCTTGCCTCATTGAAATCACTAGGTTTGTTCATGAAGAGAGGAGTAAGGTTCACTTTTCATTGGGGTGGGGGGATGACAATCATAGCATCCTAACCTTTGAAAACTCCTGATCTAGTTAGGCTTACTAATTCATTTTGTTGTGGTTAACATGGTGTCCGAAATGCCAGAACCATAATAAATACAGCTCTGTAGCAGCTGTGTAGGTGTGTTTATGTGTCTTTTACTGCCACAACCTGAAAGACTGATAAAGTATAGCTTTATAGAATTTACATCTTACCATACAAATCACTGGATAATCCTTCTCTTGAAGTGTTGATAATGTTATGGATACTCCCTACAAAAAGATTCCAACCAGATAAGAAATTAACACAATAAATCAATACTATTTTCAGTGGAAAACTGAACAATAGAAAAGTGATATATTGTACGGATAGGAAACTGACATTTATTCAAATTAAAAAAAAATCAATTTACTATTTTTGGCAGGTTTTTTGCTACCCAATGGAAATATATAGATAATGATGTGTATCAGTAGATATAAAATATAAAATATAGGCTTGTTTGATAAAATTAGTTGCCCGACATTGCAAAGTAGTAAACCAGTATTCTATGAGGTTACAGGTGTATAGTAAATTTAATAAAATAAAATAAAAAACAAAAACATGTAAAAGGATGGATCTCTGTTTTTCTTAAGATATTTTTTCCTTTAAAAACTTCTTTGATCTTTTCCCATTGGATTTATATGTGGTCTTGCTTGACCTTTTATTTGCAAAACATTTTAAACATGACTTTTTCATTGGTTGACAGAAATAATAATGGATATGATAGAGGCTTATGTGCATAGCTTCAGAGACATGACTCTCTCCCCAAACAAGAGAAAAAAAATATGCTAATTATTATTTTTAAAAATGGCAGTGTCTCCTTTCCAGGAAGAATAATAACTCTACTTCTTTTCAGATGAACCTAATGCATGACCCAAAATGTCTGGGTTTTTTTTTCAGAGCAACCTATAAGATTTCCTTAGAGAAAGTGCATGATTAGAACTGCATTTGTGTTTTTTTTCCCCCATTTTTTCCCATGTTGTGTATGTGTTTCTTTGTTATTTTAGTTGTATATTCAATAAAGTTTGTATATTCAATAAAAGAATTGCATTTCAAGTAAAATTGCACCTTTAAACAAGAAAGGACAGTAGTTTCTTATTTTACATTTTTGGTATTGTATTAAATATTTGTTCACCAGATGTAGCAATCAAATCTATATGCAGATTATTCCAGCAATAAGATCTAACTAAACAAAAAGCTTCAATCCTTGAACTTCTGATGATGCCAATAGTCAAGATGGTAAGTGGCCTTTGGATTTGATGACATAATTTTTGCTAGTCATGGGGAAATATATCATAATATTTCAATAAGCAAGCCAATGCATTCAATGTGCTGTTTTCACTTGGAAATACTACTTGGAAAATCAAAACTAGAATAGGAGCCAAAAACTCTGGTTTATGTTTTCGAGAAACAATTTTCAACACAGTCAGCCACGAATCACAGAGTTCTTGATGTAAATTTAAGAATTTATACACATACATTACCACTATTATCTAAATCCTTCTTTAAGAATAAATTTACATAAAACATCACAGAGAAGAAAAATAAATAAAATCACTAAAACAATATTAAACGAGCTCTTACCAATTTAAAACCCTCCAGATTATCAATTATTATGGGAGAAGTTAGTCAAGAATTAGATCTGGAAATGAGGACCAAGGAGGAAAGGTGTATTTATAGTGGTTTTTTTTTTTAACAGATGACTCACTCATGGATCCATAAATTAGTTCTGCAGGTGAAACACTTTTACATTATGAGTTTATAAGTCATATTCATATTTTTTAAGCTAATTTGCCAATAAATAAGATTGTTCATATTCTATTGTACTGATACTGCAATCCTACAGTATATTCCTTTGGAAATAGATCTTAGTAAACACAATAGACTGTTGTGCACATCTTAGGCATTTTTATGGTTTTTCCATTTAAAATACTTTCAAGATAAATAATTATTTCCCAGTTAGAATAAAATTTGTTAATATACTCTGCTATGTGAAACCTTGATATGCTGTTCTTTATTGAAATCCTTCCAATTCTCAGTATTTTTAAACTAACAATAGCACTATATTCTGGGCCTTTTGATGAGATAAAAATCTTGTTCCAAAAATAATGTTTATGCATGTTTTCCATCTAATTCAACAAGTATCTCCCAAGTGGTACTAGCGTACTTAGAATTTTATTAGCTGTCATTTTCTGAATAGATGCATTTTTACCATCCTCTTAGCTATTTGCAAAGGATATTGGATTCTGATGAAGATGCTCTGTGTGATGATATTGGGAAAATCTGAAGTAATACCTTAACTCCATCTATTGAAAAATAAAGTGGGGAAGGGCAGTTTTCAAGCTCAAATCTTGGTAAGGAAAATCATCAAATCAATTAGGTTGATATGTGAAACTTCCTAGAAAAAAGTAACAAATTGCTTCCATTCAAGCAGAAAAATTAAAAACGGGCAACACACTGTATATGAAAATTAGAATAGATAATTGGAATATGGTATATTATTAAAAAATGGTCTTAAGATTTTAGGAAATGTTAAATATGTTGTTTATGTCCTTAAAACAAATTCACAAAATTCAGAAAAAAAAACATGTACAGGTCTATTGGACTTAATGGATATTTCTAATTTAGAAACATATTTGCTGATTTAAATATTGGGATACTGGAAGGACATGTTTCACCTGGTTAAAGTCTGTTGTGGGACAAGCATTAGTTTCAGTGGTAACATCATGAAAAGGAATTGGACTGTTCTCATGGATTAGTCCCTTTGAACAATGGGGGGGAAAAGAGATGTTTGTGTACAAAAGAACTTGCAACATTGAGAGACCTATGCCAAAAGACATAAAGGAGTTGATGCAGAGGGATATTATTGATGCTACTGTAGTGATAAAAAAGTAAAATAGGAGTATCCATCTTTATATGGATTTAACAGAACAAATGAATTTATTGTAATGCAATGTTATCTGTTCTACACATAGAAGCTTTGTAGAATTGCAAAGGGCAAAGATGTTTTGTATTCTTGATTTGCCAAGTGCATACGAGCAAGTTGTTTTTGAGAAAATTAATAAAGACCTTAATGTGTTTATTACATGAGAAACTTGTCTATTTTAAACGATCTCCCTATGGATTTGTTTTAGCACGCAGCATCTTTTTTAAAAATGCCAAAAAGCTAAAACATTGAACAGAGATTCAATTTTATTTGGATGATTTCATTGTTTTTAAGTGTATATCAGAAGAGCTTCAAACTAACTTGCAGGGTGTACTATAGTTTCTAGTATATAGTTTAGTTATATAGTACTGTAGAGCTTGATTTGATAAATGTGAATTAGGGAAAGCAAACTTTCTTTTTTAAAGGTTTTTTAAATCTCAGGTTTGCAGCTGATCATAATCATGTGGCAAATACAGAAGCACCAGTGGCTTATGATGGGAAAACAATACACTACTTTTGGACCCTAACTTTTTCATTATTCCATATTCCTCTCTGGTACAATCTCTCCTGAAAAGAAAAGGAACAGAAGCAGACCCAAAATTATTCTGAAAACATGAAATATCTCATTGTTAATAGTTCCGCATTACATTTTATTGTGCAATAGATGCTTTTTATTCTGCATTGAGAGTTGTATGTATACATTTATGAGGATATGATAGAGAAGACTTAAGTACCACTAACTGATGCTGAAAAAAATATTACATTTCTGGGAAAGAAGAAAGAACTAGCTTCGATTTGGGCCTCAGAAAAGTGGATGTTGTGTCAGTAAGTCACACCTTTAAGCCACAAACTGAATATGAACCATTTACATTACTGATTACAAAGGATAAAACGTCAGTGGGAAATAATAGCAATAGCACTTACAAAGTCAGCATACTGCCCCCATCAATCTGAATCTGGGTCCTCATTTTACCGACCTCAGAATGATGGAATGCCAACTCAATTTTGAACAGGTGAGAATCGAATTCTGTCAGTTGGCAAAATTAGTCTGCAATTACTGCATTGAAACCACTGAGCCACCATGGCTCTTGCCAGATGATTGACAATATTATTTTTTTCCAGTTATAGAATGAAATATTGAGCAGGAACTTGGTTTCAATGTTCCTTTACATTCACTACACTATGCCACTCAGAAAGAAATAAGCTATATATCACTGGGATAAATTATATGAAGCAGAAATCCTGGCTCACACAGTATTCATTACTTGCCAAAAAAAATTTAACAATAGAAGAATTTTATGCTGTTCTCTTGAGTGATAGATGTTCAAAAGTTTGCAAATAAAAAAAAAACTAAACAAAGCTTTCAGTAACCTAATTGAAATTATAATGATAATAATCACCCACTTAGCTATTACCTTGATGTTATTGACGTTATTGTGGGGCTATCTAAGGAGAATAAGAACTACTCCAGAAGGTCAAACATACAAGACAGGTCTCATCACAGGATCCAGATGAAGAGAGTTTCTCCCATAACCAATACGGTGAGACATAAGTTACAGAAACCTACTGAATCAGTTGTCATTCTGATCAAAATAAGGACTGTGCTTGGTGTTGGAGTTCCTGGTGACAATTGGGCTATGGGACTCAAAACTATTGGCTGAGCAACCAAAACCAGCAACCACAGGACTATTGGAAGAAAAACTGCTCATTTGTTGAAAACAAAGAAATCATGATTTGATATTACCAATAGTAATAGGTGCCTTGGTTACAATTCCAAACTATCTGGAACATTACTTGAACACCACTCTCATTGACAAAATCACCATCAACCAATTGCAAAATGCAGCTTTACTTGGAATAGCTAGCAGCCCTTGGTATTACCTTTAATACTATTAAACATCATCTGCATATCTCAAATCAAATCTAATCTAAACTAACCATCTGGCTGACCATGTGACCAACCACAATAGTAATTATAAACAGTAATGGAATTGAAATGTTGAACGGTCAAACCATCAAGAGCTATCAGGATGAAGCCTACCAGTATTTTGGTATTTTACAGTTGGATAACAAACATGGATTAAAAACATAATTAGTAAAGGGCTGGAGACAAAATTGAATAGTGGAAACACCATGAAAGCTATCAATAAAGTCAAAACTTCATATCATACAAACTGTCAAAGAAAAAAAATGTGCACTGGCTGATTATGTAAAATACAGCCAAGAATAAGCATTGAGGCAAGTTAAAAATTGAAATGTATTGAAATGTACAGGGAGAAAAACCAAAATAGTATAATTAAAACACGA